AGACAGGCTGTTTTGTACGTTCAGCTTTGGATATAGCCTAGGCAGAATATATTGTACGTTCTGCTTTGGATATAGCCTAGGCAGGCTGTATTGTACGTTCGGCTTTGGATATAGCCTAGGCAGGCTGTATTGTACGCTCAGCTTTGGATATAGCCTAGGCAGGCTGTAATGTACGTTCAGCTTTGGATATAGCCTAGGCAGGCTATATTGTACGTTCAGCTTTGGATATAGCCTAGGCAGGCTGTATTGTACGTTCAGCGTTGGATATAGCCTAGGCAGGCTGTATTGTACGTTCGGCTTTGGATATAGCCTAGGCAGGGTGTATTGTACGTTCAGCTTTGGATATAGACTAGGCAGGCTGTATTGTACGTTCAGCGTTAGATATAGCCTAGGCAGGCTGTATTGTACGTTCAGCTTTGGATATAGCCTAGGCAGGCTGTATGGTAGATTGAAATTTGAATTTGGAATAAATTTTAATATTCAATATATTAATCTTACGACAGTAACTAACCAAGTATTTTTACAATATATGACGTGAATAAATCTTTACCTCAAAAAGATGTGCTTCATCAGATGTTAGTCCAATCTCTTCTTCTGCCACCACCGTCTCTTGTATAACCTTATCGTCACTTATATGTACTGTCTTCGTTTCTGTCGTATCAATCGGTGGTGGGTCGTGGCTACCAGTTTGCTCCGAATTAGTCTCCACTTCGTCGTATTTTGACAGACGAAACCCCATAGCATGTGCCAGTTGTTCTGCAACAGGATCTACTGTTTCATAGTCGGTCTCCGAATGTTCAGCTGCGTCGATTGTTACCCCAAGACGTTGTAACTAGAGTGGAACCAGACAACCTAGCGTCATCATAGTATATCATTCCTTTTTGTCGCCCCCTCTACCGAGTATTTCTATGACGTACTGGATGAGCAGAAAGGCCGTTCACAGCGTAACGATTTCACAACCCAACATAGCTGTTGTTTTGAGCTAAATTGATTACACCCTATGTTATTTTGACGTCACAAAAGTTGCTTGAGAGTACAACTTATATGAAATATGTATCAACAGAATAACTAAAAAAACGTTGTGGATGAATTCTCATAGAGCTTACGGAAAAAAGAAAAATCCATTATATTTTGATGGAGATGTGGGCCAGGTTGCTATGGAAATATCAATTTCGAGAATGAATTCTTAAAAAGGTTATGTACAAATTCACATGGAATTAGAGATGTGGATCAGGCTGCCATGGAAACTGACTTATTAAAGTTATGTATGAATTTGTGAAAGTTCAGGAGAAATTAAATCAAATTTCGGTAGATATGTAAGTCTTGTTGAAAACACTCGGTACTTACGTTTGTCTGCAAATCCACTAGCTATAACGTAAAAGAGTGAAAGTAAATATATTGAAATAATTACACGACAAACAGAACGTAGATTCACTCAGTTTTGTCTGCTTTGTCAATACATTTTAAAACACATTTGTTAGGAATATGACAACGCTGTTGGAACACTTATGCATTTCCAGTTTAACGCGTTTTTCAACACTAAACAACACTTGCGCCCTCTTAAGTTCAGATATATTTTGGAGTCGTATTTATATAAATTCTGCCAGCACTTTAGGTGAACAGTGTATTCATTCATCGTAAAATAAGTCTAGTATGTCCTCACAAATATACTTAGTTTTACCAGAATTTTATATTTTGTTTATCAGAATTTTGGTGTTAATTTTTGTCGCAATCAGACAATGTGTTATGCAATTTCAAGTCGCGTGACACAGAATAGTTTATATATATGTGTATACATCGTGTCTCACCTTTTTCTGAAGTAACTGCACCTGGAATTTGAGAAATAAAGAAAATATGACGTATTTTTTATAGAGACTTGAGTCTTAAAGCGGGTGAGTCGTCACCTGCGCATGCAGAAAATGGCTATAGCGTGTCGTTGTTTACAAACGAGCATATACCCATAAGCCTTTGCGTTTTTTATGTGCGTTGTTATTGTCGTTTGGGACTCAATTCTTGCACATGCACAGGTGACGACCCCTCCGCTTAAACCCAATACTGTCCTCGTAATATGTAATGATTGTGTGCAGTGTGTGTGTTTCCTGTGCTCGAAATTGTTCAAATTCCCCTACCTAATGTATATGTATTGTACACACACCCACGAATTCTGTAATGACGACATCAGCGCGTCCACTTACCGTTTGACTGGGTGACGGATTTTCAGTTTCTGCTTTCTTCGTATTATCTAGAAATTTGAAATATACGTCAGCCAACATCACTAAGTTGCAATTTATTTAGTGCAGCGTAAAAAAAATGCAAAACGACTCTCGGTTTACTAGAGTAGCAGGCATAGAGGATTTCGACCATAAGATATTTCGTCGCCATAGATACATTTATAATTCAAATCCAATTAATAGTTATTTTCTAAAATCACATGACCTGACACGACAAAAACAAAACAAAAACTCTGATTAATTTAATCTTCTTACACAGTAAGCCACCAACAAGACATCAGGATTTACAAATTCAGTGATCTTAAACACACATGGAATGCGGATAAACATCAACAAACTAGACATGGATTTGAAAAATTATCAAAAGATGATGACGGATTACGTCGAACAGTCTTAATTGCAGCGAACTTTGAACAACCCAATTCAATTTATTTATTTATTTATTTATTTGAGATACCAACAGGTTTCCCCAATTACAGGCACTCATAAAATACAAATACGAAACTATTTACACAAATAATATAAAACAAAAAGAAAAACCTCAACAGCTCAACTTATCGCATTTAAAACAATTCTTAAAAGAAGATAGACTCGTAAAAATGTATGCTGAACCAGCAATATAACAATTAAAAACAATGAGTAAGGATCATTTCATTCAATCCAATAGTCGCTACATTACACAATACAACGCTATTGTGCGCCGACAGTGATTTGCGAATGAATGCTCTGTGTTTACATAGTCCTAATGTATAAGTTACTGATTGATGCGCTGAGTCGTGGCGATAGAATTATAGTTCCCAGACCCCTCATCACTATTAAAATGAAAATGAGCTAAAACTTAAAATAGTGACACATCCGATGTACGAGTTATGGTTAAATTGTATTGAAGAGTCTTTCATGAGTGTGATTTGTTTTACCATACCCTGACCACACCTGTCACACCTACCGGATGTGATGCCATACAGAGGTCAACTCGGACGAAGTACACACACCAATGAATGACTCACGTGTGCATCCATCAAACTAACAAAATCGTCTGTTTCTAGGTTTCGTAAGTTCCAGTTTAAAAGTTCTCTCTACTTAAGCACATTTTAAACTGTTTAAAAAATCGCAGAGACGGAAATGTGGTACGATATGCTTTAAGACATCCATGTTTTGGGATAACCTTGGTTTCCACATCGTAGGCAGTAAAACCGACCAAACAAATAAAGAGTTACTGCACAAACCTGTCTGCACTGGAATCGACCATGTCGAGAACACCGTCAAACACAACACTAACAATATGAATATTTTCATGTCGATGATACTATGTCCCCGACGCCGAGACTTCTTTCTGTGTTCGTACTGATGGGATTCAACAAACCAGACTGACGAGGTAAATTCACTGTGGCGTTTGGTGAAGTTTACTAACTGGATCACGTGATCTATAAGTTTACTTTGTATATTTGTCTTGTCAATACGTCACATCTAACAAGTGGTTCATTGCTAGGCAACGGGAAGACACTGTATTTTGAATGTACATATATATTTTCATTTTTTTCTGGAGATGGATAGTAGGTTTACTAAGTTACATAGAAATGACAGACTCATCGTTTTAAAATATTCATGGCGTTTTCTTTAAAATGAAAAAGCAAGAGAGTATCGCCTATTGCATATATTAATACATCTATACGTGAGTATGGCGCTAAACCCTTAAAGGTTACCGTACAGTTATTACTTATTTATGAGACTCCAGTAAACGCATTGTACACATCGCATTGTAACTGGCTCCTCACGTCTGAAATATTATATTACATATATCAAATAGTTAATGTCGCCAGATATCTGAACAGACAATCACCATGCATTATTGTAGATTCATTTGCGAAAGCTGTTTTGAGAACCCGTGGCTGTGGTTGAGTCATTCACGGGGTGTAGTATTACTGGGATTGGCCTGGGCTACCAAATTGCCTGCATGTATAGCTTTAAAATTGCGACAAAGCTATCAAATCAAAGTTTACTATATGTAAAATCTCATACCAATATCACTAATATCACAGTCTATTGAATGTTGTACACCAACACACTATTGCACGTGGACTATATATGAACCTGACGTTAGGAATACAGAATTCAAATACCATTTGTCTTATGGGGATTCAGTCATATGCATATACGCATCTAGTTTTAGTACCCGGAGTAACAAATTAACAATCCAACTAGAAAAGAATTGTGACATGTTTATGCCGGTCTAATGCACATAGATGTTATTTCGATACATAGA